TTATCATTTCAAAAAAATTATACAACTTCCAACTTCCTGGATTTTCCGATTAACGAGCTTCTTTAAAAATCTATTTATTATTATTTATCAAACTATCTACATCTAGTACATATAGAAAAATTAATTACTTTTAATTTTAAAAACATATTAAGCATCAATTAAATGATAAATATTTAGTATTATTAAAAAAATTGATATGAATTGTACCAATTTCCACAATATTGTGAAGCAAAAAATATTCTACCGATTTTTTTCTATTTTTACAAAAATTATAGGCACTAAACCAAAATTTTAAAGACCAATATAATATAAGAAATTAAAATCTTTGAATTGTACATTAAAAGAGATTTAACTCCTAGTAGTCATTATTAAAATATTTTTTTGATTTTTCTATCCAAAGCATGAAATTAACCTACTTAATTGCTTAAATTTTTTATTTCTAAATTTAGATTTTTCTTCTTTTAACTTCTACAAATTCTTCTGAATTTATGTAGTACTTGTTAATTGATGATATTTTATCAAAAAAAGAGATATTTTGTCAATACAATCATCTTAGTTAGAAAAACACTAAAATAAGAGAGAGAAAAAAATTAAAAAACTTAATGTTCCTAATTTAGACTTTGGATATTTTTTTTATATAATTTTTGGTCTAGAATTTGTTATTTTGGATGTATTTTTGATTGAAGAATGGTAATGTGGAGTATAATTAAACTTTCCTATGAATTCAATCAAGCCTCAATTATCAACTCTAAACACATTTAAATTTTATAATCTTGAATAAAATATAAATCGAAAATTTAATATAATATTGCTAATTTTTTTAAAGTAAAAAAATGAATAAAAAACTTTAGTTATAAAGATTATTGCACCAACTATAGTTATAAGCAAAATCATATATAAAATTAATTTAATAAAAAATTTAAAAAAAAGAAAAAAATAAAGAATGAAGATTACTTAAGTTATTAAGATAAAAAGTGAATTTAATGTAATAAAAATATCTAAAAAAGAAAAAAATAACCACTTCAATCCTATCTTGTAATATAATTATATTACTCCTATTTAATTATAATGGCTAGTTGTCTTTGCTTAAGTGGCTAATTATTCTTAGGCACAAATCTATTATAAGTCAAGAGTTTGGTTCTTAGGTGAATGAGATATTTCTAACCTGTCTTAGATTCCTATATTCCATTGTTTGGATCTCAAGTAGGTCAGATATTTTTAATCTATCATGAACTTAAAATAATAGTATATTTTGATTAATTTAATTTAATTTTGGCTATAGTTCTATTTTTTATATTTTACAAAAATATTTGAACATAAAATTTGGTTATTGGAATTTTTTCTTGAGTGAATTAATTATAATAGAAAACCTATAGTTCTATTGTGTTGTTACCAGAAAAAATAAAATAGTAATTAAATATATTTTAAAAATAATTTCAAGCTAAAAATATCAAAGTTTTAAATCTATCCTTTGATCAAACACCAATACTTATTAATTCATAAAAGATCTTCTTAAAATTTTATTAATTTATATTTATTAATTTATAGAAATTTTTAGTATTCAATGTTTTTAAGTCTTTTAAGTCTTATAATTCATAAAAGATCTTCTTAATTTTTTATTAATTTATAGAAATTTTTAGTATTCAATGATATTTAATGATTTCTTATAAAATAGAAAATATATATTTTATTTATAATTTTTATTACATTTTAATACATTCTAACCATGAAATTGACAAATATTTATATATTTTCTTTAAAAATCATATTAAGTTAAAATAAGATGTTTTATTTATCTTCAAATAGAATTTTTTTTTCAAATAGAATAAAAAAAAGGAAAAACTGAAAAAAATATCTTTAATAATTTGATATTTTTACTCCTTATTTTATAATAAAATATTTAATTCTTACAAAAAAAATATAAATCTAATACATAAGGAAATAAATATAAAGTAATGGTTTTTTTACTAATATTTAAAACAATATATGTATATAAATGTCTTTCTAAAAAACTAATTACTAGTCTCTTTAAAATCCTCAAAGATTATTAAAAAATATTCCAAAAACCAAATAGAGAGTATACAAAGAGTATAATTTTAATTATGAATCATTTAACTAAAAGACTCATTTTCTATACTTAAGCTTTATAATAGTAATAATATTTAGGCTTTCATGTTTTATTTTTTTAAAAAAAAAACCTTGAAATTATTTTTTTAATTATTTTATGTGAAGTTAGAAATAATTTTTATTTCCGTAAAAAATCTTAAAAATTACATTTATAAAATCTATCTATTTTAATCCAATATAATATTTAATTAAAAAATCTTAAAAATTTATATAAAAATCAATATAATCTTTATAAAAAATCTTAAAAATTTATATAAAAAAAAACATAATCTTTAATTTTTTTGTTATAAACATAATTTATTTATCATTTAGATGATTTATTTTTTAATCTACATAATGACAATCAATAATTTTTTAAGTTAATTTATATACATAAATTAACTAATAAAAATAGAAATAAATTGAATAATTGTTCTATATTGTAAATATATATATATATATATATATATATATATATATATACACACACAATTATATTACACTAAGTTTTTAAAGTAAATACTTCTTCATATATATATATATATATATATATGTATATATAATTAGAGACATTTTTACAAGACAAGATGATAGAAGTTTTGAAACATGTACATACAAAAACAAAGATATAATTAATTTTGTATCATCTTTTATTAAAAAATCTTTTTTTAAAGTTTTGTGAGTCTAAATATTATTATTATTATTATTATTTATTATATGTAGTTGAATTTAAAATAAATAATAATTATATTATATTTAATTTAATAATATTTTAAAATATTAAAATGCATAAAAAATAATTTGTTAAACGTTTTCTTGAAGTCAAACTTAAGAATATGTTAGAATATTTTTATGCTCAATTAGATGTATTACTTTAAAAAATTAAATGAACCATAAGAAATATTTTTTGATATTTAAATTGTAAGAATAAATGATACAAGTCATTTGTTCTTATATTATATTTAAATATAATTAAATACATATTTTTATAAAAATACATCTTCTAGATGCTTTATTACTCAAATCTTTATATAAAAAGTAGATGATTGATAAATCTAGACTTTGGTAAAAATATAATACTAAAAGAAGTTTATTGTTTAAGATATAGCCTCAAAAAAATATTTATACTTTTATATGAAGAACTTACTACTAATAAATTTAAAAAATCAATGGAAGAACTACATACTTTTTAATAAATGTTAGACTAACATGAAAAATTGAAATTATATGAATTATATTTAATTTATTAATTTATGGTTTTTATGTTTTGAGAATGAACATACACAAGAATAATTAGAATGATTATTTATGTATTAGAATTTTAATTATTAATATTAAAGTTATTGATGAAATATTTTTATTTTTGTTATGATATTAATATTCTTATTCTGATAAGTTCTAAACATCTGCACGAGTCTTACAGTACAATTCACCTAATGGAGTTAAACAAAACTATAAAGCTACAATAGAAGTCATCATGTTGTGATTACTTTTTAAACCACTCCCAACCCTTCAAAGTACAATTCTTCACGTTATTTGTTGCAACACAAACAAACATTTGCTGGTGAAACCCACAATGGAAAAGAACACAACATGATACAAAACATTGCATAAAATTATACTTCCTTTGATGTTGGAAAACCCACTTAGTACATATGATTGCTCATTTGCTATAATGCTTTTGGATTAACATGTTATAATTTTGGTTGTACAAAACACAAAGGTGTGGATGTGCATCACCAGAAATCCAAGCTCCTCTCCTTCGTAAAAAATAAGCTTAGCATTGATAATGACTCCAGCTCTTGCGGTCCTCGATGCAGTGCAATCTGCGTCACTTTTATATTGGTCCTTCTGAAGGACCCAGTTGTTGAAATCTAGTGTGTGGATTCTTCCATTAATTTTTGACATACAAACATCATCTTTTCTTCTTCTGCAAATGCTGCTCTTGCAATGCATGAGAATCATACTTGGGGGAAATTCTGAAGCTCTAGGCATGTAGAATTCACTCCGGTGGTTGGCCGAAGTTATGTCCACAGCATAATCCGTAGCATATGTTTGGTGCAATGCGGATCAGCTAACAGCAACTCTATGTTAGTCAATGTTTCTGGAGATGCGACTAACTTGCATGATCTTGACACAGTTGGTACTGCATAAAAATAATTCACCCTCCGGAGTGAAATCTTGAGGTGAATGTCTTGCAAGTTTGTCCACATGGAGAATGCTTGAGGACATGAAAATCTCATAGCGGTGTCGTGATTTCCAAAGAAAATACATCGTGATACGAGCCATCGTGTGACGGCAGTCTTTTCATCCCATTCCTCCCTCAAGCTGTCTCATACGCTGCAAATAGCACCCTGACTTTCCGCTTAATCAAAATCCAACTGCTCCATGTTGTTCTGAAACAACCGTGAAAACCTTCTTGGCCTCAGACGCGATTTTCGGTGCTTCCAAATCGAAAATGACTCTCCACAAGTGTTTGATTCCTGGTGCATTTGAATTATCCATCAGTGCTACTGAGGATGGTCTTCAACAATCGGAATCTATTATTAGTTCGTGGTGGACCCATACCTTACATGCCTGAACCTCCACCGAACTACTGATTGCAAATACAAAATGACAGGACTTGTTTATACATGCTTGTCTAGGTGAATCCACTCAACTTTATCGTCTCAGCTCACTGCAACGTTAGTGGTGGATTGTGCAATTGCGTGCGACCATGTCATATCGTTGTTTTCACAGAACATTGTTACCTTCCAGCTTCCACTGTTGCTATGCAACAATTTCTACGCTGACGATGTTTGCATTCAGGAAGATCTTCTATGACCTGATGTTTACGCTGCTATTAAAAATATCTACGTTGGAATAGAAACATAGACAAGGGTAGAGTTAGGACATGCTGAGACTCTCATCCATAACCATCCTCTACAATTAGATGAGCCGGAGAAAATGGAATAACGGATTTTGGTTAAATTTAGTAACAACTTGGCACATAAAGCAGCCACTCACAAGCCATTGTGTACCCTACAACAGAGTTATGTCAAGGCTCAAAAGTGGACCAGGAGAGACCAGGCCGGCGACCACTTCAAGACCACTTCTCAGTCTAAAAATTTGCAATGAAAGATTGGCCGGTGGGCAGTGGTGACCGGAATCTGTTTGGTAAAAGTTAGGAAGGTATGGAAGGGGACAGACGGACTCCTGATGGAGAGAGCAAGTCATTATCATCCCAGCTCACTGCGATGGTCGACTAAGCAAAGGATAGACACAGAGAAGTAGGGCTGGGAAAGGGTAGCTTCACTTACTAGAGAGGGAAAGGTCCTAAGGATCGGCTCCAATATCCAATCTGGGTGGAAATATTTCACCAGCAAGATAGCCTCGTACACTCATGTAAGTGTCCTACAGAATGATTTGGGATGGAACGGCAGAAATCTTCCTGACAGATAGGTGAGCAGGCCATCTATCGCTCCGTTGTCGTTGCAGCATTCACAGAGGTAACTTTGCGATGCCGTAAGTAAATAGTTGTGCTTGCCTTGATCCTGCAACATATACTTAAAATAGTTCGCATTCCTCTATTCTTCAGTCCTTCGCTCTTGGCCCTGGTTTCCTATGTTTGCAGTGTCAGTTAGCTGGCTGTGATACCTCCACCTCTTCACCCACAACATAACTGCTCCATTTCTGATGCTGGGTTTAAGAATACTTAATGCTACTTTGCTCTTGCTTGCTTTCTTCCGGGTCGATTCTTGTCGTCGTCATTTTCGTTGTCGATGTGCTGCTGTGAGCGCAGCAGAAACATATTGAAGTGGAATACCTGCTTTCCATGTGACACCACCTTCTTTGAATGATGAACTAAGAGTAGATGTCGTTGCCAAAGTTTTGTCAGTCTTGAGATTGATAATCAAACTTTTGCGAGTTGTGATTCACAGATAGGATACGAGGATCGGTCTTCGGCAGATAAAACCTCGAGCCTCGTCTTCAAAGTGCGATTTGAATGTGAAATCTACTTGATAACAGTTGCAGGTGCAACCGCGTCGCAGGAATTAGCTCGTCTTTGAAGCATCCTGGCGTACCTAGCAAGATCTTAATTCATGTGCGCGTAGTGGTGGAAACAGTTTCTTATAGTGGAGCTGGGTGCTTATGCATCAAGCGACCTATCTCTGAAGTGCTGAAAGAGCCAGTTCGAAGCATCGAAAGAGTAAAAACTCAAGTCGTTTGAGCACCTCCAACCTTGAGTTTCTTTTGAATAGCGTCTCTTTTGTCCCCTGGGCCTCCCGCACTTCGTATCATAGATCTGCCTCCGATCCGACTTCTCCCTGTTAGAACATGGATGTAGTGTCTTTCATGTGGTGCACTACAAGGGCGACCTGAGTGTAAATCTGCGAAGTTATCAATCATCTACCTACTTACAACTTAGGACGTTGTACCACACTTGTACTAAAAGTATGCGTACCACTGAAGAGGTCGATTAGGGCTTTTGAGGAATCAGTTCTTCCTTTGAACGTCGAAGTGAGCCTGCGGACTGACGTATCTGATCTGGTTGAACCTATCGGGATCAACATCTCATCTGATCTGTACTAGTTTGGGGATGCGACGGCAAACGACACTAGGAAAACGGTACTAACCATCACCCATCTGGACGTATGTCGACCAGTACGGCAGTAGTTCGGGACGCGCCTGCTCTGCGATCACGCCGTAACAAGCTTTGGCGTCATGCTCAAAGAGGTTAAGTCAAGGACAGGATTGGCTCAAGGTAGCAGATCTGTAACAGTGTCTGCAACCCTGGCCCTCATGTACGTGGTATCCTAGACTGATCCTTCAGAACCTCACTCTCATATTCATATTTCTATTGAGATGGACGAACTTGACGATCACTTTGCCTTTCTAATGAATGAACAGAAATCTCCTCTAGCCAACGACCAAGGACCGCATGCATTAAAACTCAAAATAAGCATGATGTAATGCCATCATTCTATGTTCCTCAATCCCGTGTGCTGACCACTTTATTAAGCGGGTGGAAGCTGATCAGGTAAGGAATCTGATTGAGAGATTCTTTTGCTATGTTGAACAATGGATTTTCATACAGATGGTAACATTATTGAGCTCTCCATTCGGAAAACCATGTTAACCTCGACCTCTACCCTTGTTTGTTGCTCCAGAAAGCGATTCGGTGTTTGCTCTTATCAATGTCATGCATTTGTGCTCGATGAAACATTCATGATTCTGTGCTTTGTTCTCGATGGAACATTTATGATTCTGTGCTTTGTTCTCTATTCAGTACACAGTGTTCAGTTCAAGTGATAGTGTGGCCTTTCGAAAAGTATGATTGAGGATGATATATTGTGACCGCGCTTTGGCGTTTCACAATGTTTCAGAGGCAACGCTGCATCATTTTAAGTGGTTTTCCCTCATCTTTGAGCAGTTACTGCAAGTGCCCACATGGGTTTGGGTGGGACTACATTGGAATACATTAAACATGCGATTACTACATGTGAAGAGTCACTTGTGCCTAGGACGTACATTGTTTCGTCTTTATTCACCTCTGATACCCCCAAAATACTCTGGTCGTTCATTTGTTGTAGACAATTGCACCAACGAGGACAAGACAATCGTTGAAGCGTCAATTTGAAAGGTAAAAGAGTCTGCAGAAATCAATGGGGGAAACTGGCACTGCCTGGCTCCCTGTATGCCACTTGCGAATTTTGGCAAAACTTGTGGCAGGGTACGTAGCTGCCATACAGGGAGTCAGACAGACCTTGCATCTTCCCGGATTCTCATGAAGCTCTTTACCATGTTCTCATTTATCAAGGTACTGTACATGCTACTTCCGTAATGATAATTATGTGAAATGAAATATTCTTTGTTAGATCAGTTGATAGTTTCCAATCAAAATATGAATCTGTGTCAAGCTATCGATAACCTTGACAATTAACAGAACACTCCGATTTCTCCAATATAAGAGGACTTTCCAGTGGGTGGTAATTAAATCATGTGATATATTGAAACTTAAGTTTCTACCGAAATATACGCATGGCAGAAAGCTCACACCAGCACTAACCAAGCTGGTTACATAACCTCAGACTTTCTGGTGCTGGAATCTGATCTTCACAAGCCTGCTCAGGTCGATCGATATTAACATGGTTATATAGATGAGTGACGAGATAAGGGAATACCATGGAACTTGTCGAGGATGTCGTAGTTTGTAAGATGTTTCGAATTTATTTCCTAGTACTCCATTATTAAGCTGTAGGTAGCATCATATGCCTATTAAAGCTCTGTAGGCTGTTTGACTATTTGTACTGTCTGTAATGTTATTGCTAGTTGACAAGTTATGGACGACTAGAGCATTATTTTACCTCCTGTTCAGAATCCGCACTCATGCAGAAAATTTTGGGTCAATATTGTACACAAACCAGGCTGCACACCAATATTTCAGAATGGGGTTGTTGATCGAGACTACACACAACTACCTACATGACGAATTTTTGGCAATGCATCGAAGTTTACATTCTGTCTACGTTGTGGAGAAGACTGGTTCTGCATGGACCCATTGGCTGGCTGGAGCTGATCATTGAATGAAATAATCTACCAGGAGAGGACGATCTTACAGTTCGAAGCTGCACCAAAATGTTGTAGTTGCAATCTATATGTGGTTGATACCACTGGGATAATTTATTTGTGAATACCTAGTTTCTTTTATTGGCTAGGAGCGTGTTGAAGGTTATTTTGGTTTAAGAAGTGCCTTAGATTGACTTGCTCAAAACGACCCGACTTCAGGTTGGGGTTTAGGTCTAGTATTCACAATGTGGATTCGTTCCAACCCTCACTAAAAATGCTGCACTGTTGTGCGGATGGATTGTGCAATTCGTTCGCATACACTATAATAAATACGTTAAGGGCTTCTGCATATTCTTAAGTATTCATGATGCGTATCTCTGAAAGGAAAAAGAAAAAAGGAAAACAATAAGAAAAACTTTAAAAAATGAGATTCTCATCCTTCTCAATTTCTCACTGAAAACGGAATAATTTTTTCAGTCAAATCAGATGAAATGCAGATCCATGTGCAAATTCTACTGAGAATACGAAACATAAATTTTGGAAGGCTATCGTGACGAGTACTACGTTTGTGAACAGGGTGATATCGGTTAGAGCGACACAAAATCTTCAGCGGCCTGAAATCTCCACTACGCTGTGTGTACGTGAATATCAGCCCGTCAATAAGTTTCATTTATGATGGTGTTTCTCAAGTCCTCCTTTCTTAATAAACATCGAAAAAATCTTTGACGTTGATTACACCAAACACCATGTTATCGTCCTCCGTTATCTAGTACATTCATCTGAATCGGTACGATTAGGTTTGACGCAGTAATACAGCGCTCTGCAGAAACTTTTGCACGACAGTGTACTGGTTCACTGCATGTTCAACGTTCAACTGCCCAAACAAAATACTTGGTAAAGGTTAACTTGACTTTATTTTAGGGAACAGAGCTTCTGGGTGTAATATAGTAGTTCTTTATAAGTTTGAAATCAACAAACTTCATGAATGTGGTCAGCCGCTGGAGCTGTAAGTTACATGAAAGGAGACGTGAGAGGGCTGGCGCCCTAACCGTCGTCGGGCAGACCGATTTATTATAGCGGACGCTAGCATAGCTGCAGAAGACTAATTAGGATGTACTCAGCCAACTGTATGGCTGCGAGGATGTTGTGCAGTTATACCCATGCAAAGACTGTCACAGAATTACAGCTTAGCAACTAGGTCTGACGTGAATTATTGGGTATATAGTGCAACATGCATGTAAAGATAGACGTCAAAATACCTTGGATGAACGAACCACAGCATGGAATTTGGTGACCTTAAACAGTTCAAATGCTTTAAACCACTTGCTTATAATCTATCCAACGAAAAAAAACAGTGAAAGTATACTCCAAAGTTCAAATGATAATACGTCAAACATGAACCTTTAAGTTTTTATATAGAATACCCGGTGTTCTGTTATTTTAAAAAATTGTCTTAACTGAGTCTATTAATACTTTAGTGATTTTCAAAGTGCGAAGTATAGAAGATGTTGCGAGAAAGACTTAGAAAAAGTTAAAAACCATGTCTACTTCAAAGATATTCAGGTATTAGGGGATCTAAACTGACAGCACTGCGAAACTTCAGTAAACACCTCCGAGAAGCTGCAACAAAGCCTTACTTGCTTATTTTGAGAGCACCAAGAATCTCAGTAATCTACGCCTGGTCCAGATATATTGGGGCGTGCGCCCAAACCTGAGTCTCAAAATAAGGAATATGGAATACAAAACTTGGTATTGTAACGTTACTTTACGCACTCTGGTCTACTAAGACCTGAACACAAATAGAGACCAAGTCTGTCACAGCAATAGGAAACACTGTGAGTTACTATTTTCTGTTCTCAAACTTCAAAGTCAGCACACTCCTCAAGCGGGTAATATGACTTCAGAGAAGCCAGCATGCTTTACCGTGGAACACCCCTTGACACTCCTCTTCCATAAGCATTTTGCAGCAAAACCACATCCATCAAGCCGGGATGCATCGCGAAAACTTTCTCAACGCTAAATGTGTAAGGCTTCCGAATTTCGAGATTTTTCACACGCCTGACGTGTAAAGATTCTTTGAAATCTGATTCTTTCTGCAAAGTGTTCATTACTCAGCTCATCTTGATCTCGACCAAACGCAATTCACACGCAGAGTTCCTACCCTACGATTGCTCAGTGATCAAGTAAGCATGAAAGCCGCGTTGGGGTTACAAATGATTACAATGACTCCTGCTTGAGAGACTAGGAATCAGCTTCTTCCACTTCCACACGGGCATGTGAAAGTCAAAGTAGATTAAAAGGCCACCCACAAAGATACGGGGGAAAGATAATGAAGCACTTATGGCATCCAGAGTGATGAAGGAGAGATGATGGCCCAGGAACAGACCGGTATGACTGCAGTGAGCTCAACTTCCAAACAGTCTGGAAATTAAATGCGGCAAGGTCCATTCTTTAGCGCCAGACTGTCTATTCCAACTTAAAGCTCAATCTTGTCATGCACAACCATTCACTAATGCCTTACTGCATAGCTGCAGTGAAAAAGAAAAAGAAAAAGAATTGGTTCGCCAGTTTTTCACTTCATTCAAAATGAAGTGAAGTTTCGTTATTCCCAAATAAGTTGAAGCACTGTTTTGAAGCACAACTCGCGAACATGATTGCAACCAACACATAATGTCCTTTAAGTTGGTAAGCGGATGACAACTGGTACTTTAAGTTGATATAATACACAATTTTAGATCTAGAAGCAATCCCCGGAAATGGAATGTTTCTCGCTGACAAGGGAAACCTAAAATTCTTTCATTTTCATGCCGCTACTTTAATGCACCTTATTATACCTCGGAAACCATATCCCAAAGAAGAGCAGTGAATGCAGACCTTGCAGTCGGAAATAAGCAGTGAATTGAACAGCCTTTGTACAAAATAAAAAAAATTGCAAGTGATTTCTCATGTATTGAATTGAATAACTTTCCATTCTCCAGCCTTCAAGATGATGAGAGAAACTTTCAAAGTGATTTCTCCTCTTATCCAAACCTCAAAGAACAAAAGAAAAAAGAAAACAAAACAAAACAAAATTAAAGGATAAAGTGCCAAAATTGCCTATCTGCAAATCATTTCAGAGGAAAATGCAACATGCTCGGTAACATTCCACCTTACTTCGTTAGGTTTCCAGGTCTTTCCATGCAAAACTCAAGCTTTCCTACGAGAAACAATTATCATTTCGTTGCGCGTCCCTGTACATTGTGGTGCAAGTTGCACTCAATGGTCATATCTAGAATTATTGCTGATGGAATACAAAACTTGGTATTGTAACCTGAGTCTCAAAATAAGGAATATTGGAATGTGTTGTGTGTGTGCATCTGTGTCGCGGGAGGAGCGATGCGCCGATGCTAGTCACGCTCGCCGTAGGAAGCACTCGCGTTGGTAGAAAACGAGCTTCAATGTCGACAGAACCTTCCTTCGTTCGCCCTCTCCTGGGAGGAGAGGTCTTGAGCTCGAACTTGGTGTATCTGGAGGTAAACCAAAAATGTTAGTAATTTGTTAGAAAAGTAAGTTAGTTTAAGGATTGTTTATATTCATGTCGTGTATAAGGATTCTTTTATATTTAGAGTAGATGATAAGAGGTCATAATTTTTAAATCTTTTGATTGGTTGAAATCAAAAGGCCTTACTTAATTGGTGTTATACTTTTGAGAATTAATCCAAAGATTATATGAAGTAAAAATGAGGTACAATGCAAATTTTTCATACATGGCATGAATAGTGGTATTTCTTACATTTTGAAATAAGTTCACTTTAAGAAGTGAAATTTACAGAAATTCAAGAAATTATATCAAATTTTTGGTTTAATAATCATCAATTTTTAAAAGAATTAAAAAAAAAGAAACGACAACAAAAATAATAATAATAATTTAATATTTTTCAACATAATTAGAATCCAGATATAACATGACATATTTAGACTTATATCAAAAGAGTAATTTGAATTATTTTATAATTTCTTCTTACTTTATACTATTTCTAATAGCCAAGCTTTTGAAAAAGACTTTTTTTTTTTTTTTTTTTTTTTTTTTTACCAAATAGGAGGCCATTTCAAAGATTGTATACCTAATTTTTTTTAAATCAACTTCTACATAAAAAGATTAGATAAGATTTTTTTTTGAAAGGCATTTGATGCAATCATAATATATATCTTGCAAGGTAAGTTTTCTATATGTGTACTACATAATCAGCTTGTTTCACAAGCTTTCAATACGTGTGACATGTTATTAACTTATTGATCAAGTTTCTAATCTATTAATTAACTACAAACACGTGTAAAGTCAAAATTACATCTATGAAGTATATAAGAAGCTTCTCTAGAAGATATTATGAAATTAATTTATTTTTACCTATTTCTATCTAATTATATAAGTAATTATTGGAATTAATATGTATATTCATAATATTACTTCCTCTTCTAGCAACAAATTTCATGAGGAGCAATTATCATCTTTCATGAATCTTGATGTTCTTCATCTTGGTTTTGATAGATGTCATTGATGAAAAGCTTCAATCCTTTTCGTTGCATTTGCAAGATTCTTTATTCGCTCTTATGTATATTAATATCATATCTATACCAATGAATAAGATATTTCAATTTATTTTGGTGTGATCTTGAATCTAAAACTTCTTCTACTTTGAACTATTGAAGACATGAACCTCAATGAAGGAAGATCTCAATACACTCTCTTGATACTCAAAAAGATTAAAAAATCACTCAAAGATGGTAATATATTTAATTAGAATGCCTATTGCCAAAGACAAGAAGACTAAAAAAGCATTGACAAGAGTAAAGAGGGTTTTAGTCTTACCTCTATATATAGTCTCTAACTAAGAACTACATAATTATCTTCTATAGGACCTTCAATATATATTGATTGTGCTAGACACATGTCTTAACTTGCAAGGCAAATTATCTATATATACACCACATAATTAACTTGTTCCACAAGCTACTAATACGTGTGGTACATAATTAATTTTTTAACCAAGTTTCTAATCTACCAATCAACTACAAACATATTATCATATGGTGTGAATTTCTATCTCGGAATATATTAGGTACTTAGTTATAGAAAGTTTAGCTTTAATTTATTGGCCAAGCTTCAATAAGTGATTTATTCTTATTATAGAAGATAAATAAACATAATAATATAGAAAGATATTCTACTAATAAAATCTTTTGTATTTATAAAGCTTTTAATAAGTTTTTTTAGAAGATATTATAAAATTAATTTATATTTATTTACTTCTATATAATTATATAATTAACTATTAAAATAAATGTGTATATCTATGATACAAATTCTTAAT